GGAGGAGGAGGAAATGATCCTTCTTTGTCATCTAACAGTTTCTTACCACCAGTCATTCTTGATCCCCCACCCCGTTCTTTGTACAGTACTTCAGAATGTATTTTATGATTTTTACTTTACTTTCAGTACAACACAGAGTAGCAATTTGTTTCATGGTGGTATAAAATTGATTAATTAAATGAATGAATGAATGATCTTTATAGCACAGTCCAGTACAATGCACAAGGAATATTTACTAGGACCTGAAGGACTGTGTCTCCCCATAAGAGCTTTCTAGGCACTTAACATCATCCTCTTGGTCTCATTGCCAGTGCAGGCATGGTTGATGGGGACTCAAGTGAGAACCTTCTCTGTGGCTGCTCCCAGATTATGGAATGCTCTCCCTCAGAAAGTCAGCTTGCCCTCTCCTTTTTATCCTTCTGCTGACAGCTGAAAACCCAGCTTTTCAGGCAGGTATTTAACAATAATAACTCAATGCTGTTTTTTTTTTTTAGTTAAGACAGTTCTACATTTTAATCATTCAATGTTTTAATCAGTTTTATACTTTACATATTTTTAATGTTTTATTTACTGTTTCTATTCTTTTTAATACTGTGACTTGCCCTGAGTCTCCTTACCAAGAGAAAGGTGGCCTATGAATAAGACAAATAATTAAACAAATAGTATCCAAAGTTACACAACACTGGTGAAATATTTAGAGAGTATTCCTGGTCCTCCCCCATGTTTTCACCAAGCGCACCTGTGAAAGCCTCCCCTGACAATCTTAACACCAGGGCAGGCTCATACAGAGAGATGCTATATAGTCTCTGTAACCAACCCAAGTTAATAATCTCGTGACAATGTTTTGGACCTGCTGAAGTTTCCGAGCACTTGCCAAAGTCAGGCCCCCATAGAAGGTACAGTACTATGGTAATCCAGTCGGGATGTAACTAAGCAATGTGTCACTGTGGCAGTTAAGACCTCTCCACGAATAGGTGCAGGTGGTGTACTTGTTGTAATTGTGCAAAGGTACTTCTGGCCACTACTGAAAGCTGGACATCTAGGCTCAGAGTCAAATTCAGGAGTACACTTAAACTGCACACCTGTTTTCAGAGAGAGTGTAAGTACAGGCTGTGTCCCTGTTTCTTGACCTTCTTTCCTACTGATCAGGCATACCTTTGTCTTGTCTGGATTAAGTTTCAGTTTATTCACCCTCATCCTCATCCAATGTTTTATTGATATCAGACACTAATCTAGTACTGAAATAGCTTCCTTGGATTTTGATGGGAAGGAGAATAAGAGTTGAGTGTCATCCACATGCTGGTAGCACCAAACCCCAAAACTCTGGGCAACCTCTCCCAGTGGTTACATGTAGATTTTAAATTGACATTAACAGGAGACAAAACAGACCCCCAAGGGACACCACAGGCCAATGGCTGGGATGTTGAACAGGAATCCCCCAGCACTACCCACTGAGTTCTCCCCTCCAGGAAAGACTGGAGCCACTGTCAAACAGTGTCTCCCAAGTCCATCCCACAGAGACGGACCAGAAGGAAATTGTTGTCAATGGTATTAAAAGTAACTGAGAGGTTTAGCAGAACCAACTGGGACACAATAAGACTGCTAGCAGCAGCAATATTGCTGAAATTAAAGATTTCTGACTTCTCTCGCAAAGGTCATGAGGCTGCTATGGAATCCCTTTCATCATGGACCACAAGATTGAAGGAGGGAGTCTTTTAATTAGCAAAAAACCATCACAACTAGAAACATGTATTCCAGTCCGAGCCATGAATGCAAAAGCTCTACCCCATTTCCCTGTTAATAAAGCTATTGGTATTCTCAGGAGGACCTCTCCTGAAGATCTTAATTTCTGGACAGATTCATAACAAGACATATGGTTCATTACATAGCCAGGACCTATAGAGATTAGGCCTATGAAGGTTAAAACTGGTACCTTTAAACTGAACTGATAAGCAAACAGCAGAGCAGTCTTTCAGTATCAGGATCATATGATCTTAATACTGTGCACCAATTACTGCATAGTTGCTGCATATTGTATCAACTGAAGATCATGGGCCCTCTCTTCTAGGACAGCCCCACATAGACTGCATTGCAGTAATCAAGGTGTTATATAAATAATGCATGGATGATTTTTGCCAGGTAAGGTCAATTCAGGAAAGACTGTAACTGGCGTACTAACTGGAGTTGTATAAAGGCACTCCATATACTGTAATTACCTAGGAATCCATGTATAACCATCCTAGTACAATGCAGAATCAACAAATACTGCCAGACTAGAAACTGGGATTGTTAGGGGAAGCACAACGCTCTGACACGTTAAATCCCAGTCCCCAAGCCTGACTTTCAACTCGCCAGCACTACTTCATCGTCAGAACTTTTAAGCAGTATTCATGAGTCCTGGTTGCTCCCTCAGTGTTAGGTGATAAGAAGCAATAGATCTGGGTGTCATCAGCACATTGGTGGCACCGGATGCCACAGCTTCAAATGAGCTCCCCTAGTAGCTTCAAGCAGACATTAAACAAGATAGAGAATGGGGTAAAATCCTGAGGGATACCACTCACCAAAGTGCATGTTGTCAAAAAGTCACATGGTGGTAAACAGTGGTCTCCCAACACCATCTTTGGATGGTCATCCTTAATGTACCTCATATATCTAATTAATTTGGATAGCATTACTAGAGGACTCAGGTTTGGCTGTATATCATGGATTTTTGCATAACTGCAGAAAATGCAGTGTTTCTCTCTGTTCTCTTTGCTTAAGACTTCTGAATCAGTTATTTGTGTGTAAAAAACATACTTTATTCAGCAAAGTTCTGACTTAATATATTTCTGTTTTCCATAGTTCTTGCATTTCTGTTTCTGATGAGTGGAATAAAATGTTTTACGTCAACAAAATCTTGGCGTAAAGTCCCCCCCCCAGTGTTCAATTAATAGATTAATATGTTTGTCTATGTCACATTCTAAAGCAGTGTGTGGCTATAAATCAGCCACTGTTGAGAGGGAGTCAACAGTCATTTTAAGTGAGGGACAGCAGAGCTGAGTTTCAAGAAATGTGTAAGAGTGGTGTCAAAGGCAAGAGTCAATAGTCACGAAAACCACATGTGTACAAATTCAACAAAGCTGAGAGCAAAAAAGAACAGGTGTACAACAATCCAAATCAGCAGATCGTTTAGGTCGCTGTGCTGCAAAGAAGACTAGAACAGAATATTGCTTATATAACGGCAGATCATTTAGGTTGCTGTGCTGCAAAGACTAGAACAGAATATTGCTTATATAACAGTAAACGTTTGATTGGGACCTTAGCATTTACTCAACTTGTCCTGGGACCTCTCCCTTCTTCAGTCAACCAGCTGGCTTTAATTAATTATTTACTGTAAGTGTCTGACTTTAAGGATGCCCTGTCTGTCTCCATTTTTTCTTGTGTTCTCACACTGGCATCTCCAGCATTCTCTAGAGTCAGAAGGTCCATTAATTAAATTGTTGTAGTATATTGAAGCACTGGGGCCTCTCTAGCAGGGTCAGACAACTCCTCAATTTCCTGCTGGAGAGGGATGATAGCTGGTCCTTCAAGAACTTCCCCAATCTAGATTCCTCTTCACCCTCTGTAGAGCACTTGGCCAGGCAGAGCATGAGAGTCCAGTAGTTGTACAAAGTTAAAAGTTAGGCACTACACACTATTAGTCTCTAAAATATAAGGGAGAAATGCTGTTCTAGAACAGTGTATACTGGAAAAATGCATACCTCTTAGAACCAAGCATTTAACCTTCATATTGCAGTACTTAGTCAAGACCTGCCATCTTTAATTTCCTTAATAAGAGACATACAGGAATTTTGCTTGAATGCCATTTCCAAGAGGAGCATAATCTATACTTGAAACTTTTTAGAGACTTTATTCTCTTCACAACCTAATCCTAAATTAATTATGTACAATTATGACTATACCAAACATAAACTTTTATTTTTGTATACGTATATATGATTTCAGTGATAAGAGAACAAATTCATTATTTCCCTAATGTTAGTTATCATTGTCGCAATGCTAAATACAGTGTTTTAGTGCATGTACCACTGTCCAAACAAGTTCACTGTCAAAGGACGAATTAAATTTTGAAAACTGAACACAGAAAAAACTTAACCTACCAAACAAGTGGTAGATCTGCAATGTTAAAGGGAAGTAAAAATAACCAAGACTATGCAGTGATTTAACACGCTCTATGCTAATAACAAATGTACAGAGATTTAGCCATTTGGTTTTTCACAATTTACATTTGTAGAAGTGGAATAAACCTATCTGTGCAAACTCTTAAAACACACCTGTGCATGCAGTACAAATTTCTGTGCAACCTGCAGTGATGACACTATCTAAACTTATTCAAAATATACAACAATTTAATTGGTAAGCTTACAGTATACTATACGTTACTGGGGATGTATTTGGAAAGAATGACAAGGAATAATTCACAGTGGCTTAAAGTGCAAATATGATAAATACTTGTGATTTAATCCTGGCAAGAGTAGTTTTTTTCCAATCAGTGTAATGTGGTTATGCCGATCTACCTTGTAATCTATGAAATAATGTGTCTGGAATTCATACCACATATAGCCCCCAGTGAATTACTAGGGATGTGGGAGAAAAGCATTAATGCACCAGTAACTTGTTCTGATGCACAAAATTTTTTAAATAACAAAATTGCAGTGAGTAAGCTCACAAATACTTCAACATTCACTGTAACTCAAATAAGGTATAGCTTCATTAAAAAGCATAAAAAGGAAATTTCCACGTAAATTTCCAACAAAATAATTAAAAGTTTCAAAAAGAAACATACAGATTAAATTTTAAATATTCTATTTAGTGGCTTACTGTAAATTTAAGTGTACCTAAGCTTTTAGCCACTTAAATAATGACTACTAAAAGACAGGTAGTTTTTAAAATTTTTGTTGTTATTGTTATTGTTGTTATCATAATAATAATAATCATTATATAAACATTTGTGCAGAGAAAAACTGACAAATTTACAGGGTATTTGGTTAAAAAAATCCAACATGGCCTTTAAACAAAAATAGTATTCTGAAAAAGGTCTGTCATAAACCAATGATTGTTGTTAACTGATGTAACTCCTTCTGCAAATGGTGGTTTTTGAAATCCAGCTTCATAAAATGCAGTATGTATAAAAATCATATTTTTCAAAGACTTGTGCTTTTCTAAAATAATATGGATGTCACATGGTGTATGCCACTGAAATACAATCTGTGAATGTATAGAAGACAAAGCATAGATTGCCCCCTAACTAAATTCTATGCTGCAGCTTTCTGCCTTTATTACAAAAACTTTTCGCTCACAAGAGCACATTATATATTAAAACTAAAGAAATCTATCATGGTGATATGTTCATGTAAGGCAAATCAGGTGACAGGTTCAATTTTGCAGCTTTAGATGTCGGAGTCAGCATTAATTACACCCTTGAGAATATGCTTTGATAATTCATAGTGTTCAGTGCACACATAAAAAGAAGGAAACAGTCGAAAAACAAACATTCTTTTCAGAAATCCTGAAGAATGAAGCAGTTGAATTCTACAATGCAGAACAGATCAGAAAATAACTCTTTCTCCCTGGGCTCGTTCCCACCAAAGTGTGCTGTTAAGTGTTCCAAAATTGTCTTCCTCTTCTTGCTCTTTGGCAAGTTCCACAAACACCTGAAATGATTAAGGATTTCATGAATGCATTACAACTGCAATCCATTAACTTTCCTGAGCTGTAAGCATTTATTTATTTATTTGATTTATACCCCGCCTATCTGGACCAGTGGACCACTCTAGGCGGCTAAGCATCCAAGTTACTACAACATTCCGAATCTCCGGAGCACTGATGTTAAGTTAAAATTCTCTTGTGTGCTTTGGAAACGATTTTGAAAATCTGTATCATCTATTCAGCAGGTATAAATCAGAAGTAGGTATAGTAATATAAACTGCATATGTTTTTTAAGAATGAAAATTACCATTCTAGTGTGATCAAATGAAAAACTAAGTGTGGGGACTGTGAAAAAAAATTACTTTTAAAGTCTGTAGATTACCTGTTCAAGAGTTGCTTGAGAGAAGCTGTACTCTTCAATATTAAAAGCATGTTTTGCTGTTAAAAATGATAGAAAGAATTATTTATTCCTCAGGAATACTTATGCAGTGAAGTGACATTGTATTAATGTGCATTTATCCCTCTTGATGTCAGTGAAATCTGATCAAATCTGAGTTTCCACAGACAGTATACTACACATACAGAGTTCTTCCCATATCCTGACTTCCATATGCAAAATCATATAACAGGACTGTATGAACTCTGCATTACACATACAGAGTTCTTGCCATATCCTGACTTCCGTATTCAAAATCATATAACAGGACTGTAGGAACTCAGCTGTACCTTAACACTGCAGTGATCGGGAAAATTGCTGTGTGAATTTCAGCACAGTATGCATCTCTTGTGAACCTTATAAGCCTCCAGAAGACTTTAATATTTAAGAATGTTCTAGCTTGTCAAACATGGAGCATTGCTGTGAGGGAATGGCAAGTTAATTTCTCACAAGGAAATCTTGCACCTCTTTAAAGTCTCTGAAGTTTAATGACTTCTTGATGCCCCAGAAAAGTAGGCCAGGAAGGCCAGGCACCTACTGGGTCAGGACTGAAGTTATCAGAATGGTCTGGAAAACCATGAAAACAGCATGTGAATGAAGTTTGCATTCTAAAAGTCGCTGCAGATTATTCAAACAGTAATATAGGTAACCAAGAAATTAGATGGTTCACTTAATAAAATTTTTGCCTCACCTTCCTCCAGTTTAGAAAAGCACAGTGCAAGGGAATGGACATCTTCCTTTGGAATTTTATATGCCAAAATTGAGGCAAAACTGCAACACACACAAAGCAGACATGAGTGTGTGACATGCCACAACAACAGTAATCATAAGTGGTCTGATTAACATTACAAGTTTAAACACCTTGGTGCAATCTCATTTTACAGGAGAACAGGCACTATTGCTTATTTATTTCAGTAGAGGACAACAGACATTTAAGGAAATATTGAAATGCTAGCAAATCACCAGTGAAGATTTCTTACCTATGTTAGAAATCTAGGGCTGAAATCTTGTTGCATAGTGCAGCAAGTCCAAACTAGAGTAGGTCCACTGAATCACTGGGATTAGGTGAGTCAACGCTTCCATGAGTTCCATTGATAGAATTGGACCTATTTGAGTTGTTACACTAAGATGAGATACAATTAGAGTAGGCCTATTTGAGTCAATGGAACTTGCGGAGGAGTTGATTCATCAAATCCCCAATGACTCTGTAGGCCTACTTTAGTGTGACTTATAGGCTGAAATACTTTTGCTGGAGATACAATATGAACATGCTCCCAGTTCCATTTATTCGCCACAGGTATATATCCCTGCAGTACACACGCACAGTGACAGATAGAGGGGAGGCTGGGCGGGATTGTGTGAATTCACAGAATGACCACTTGAAGAACAACAGTTACAGGTAAGTAACCTCGCCTTCTTCATTGTGGTCTTCTGTGAATGCACACCAAAGGGTGATTAGCAAGCTTACTCACCGGATGGTGGGATGTCACTGTAGCACAGATGTCAGCACGGCTCTCCCAAATGTTGTCTCCTTTTTGGCCCTGAGATCAAGTCTATAATGAGTAATGAAGGTTGACGCAGTAGACCATGTGGCGGCTCTACAGATATCCGGTACATTAACGCCACGAAGAAGGGCCGTAGAGGACGCGACAGCTCTAATAGAGTGGGCGCACAAACCGTCAGGCGGAGACTTGTGTTGAAGTTCATAAGCTAAAGAAATTGTGCTGACAATCCATTGAGAGAGAGCAGAACGTGCTGCCGGTAAACCCTTTTGTGTCCAAAGTGATTTTTCCCAATGGAAAGTATTTCCAACGACTTCCACTGAATGATATTTATTCAAGTATGGACAGAAATGAATTGCAGGGAGCAGAAAATAATATCTTGGAAGGGTCATCCGGCAGCCCGCTTTGCCCAATTAACTGAAAGGCCACAGATACAGAATGTTCTGGGTTGTGGCCTAGATTTGTTCTCTCACGCATGAAAACAATTTTTTTTCTGGCTTTATCTATTGTCTGCTTGACAACAAAACTGTTCTTGTGTCACTGCTTTTCTGTTTGAAGAGCAAAATGCAAAATTCCTTGAAAAATCACAGGAGACGTTGTTTCTCTTCCAAGAAAGGAAAGAAAAAGACACATCTTTAGTACATAAAATTGGCTCAGTTACAGTAGTATGCTGAATTTTGCATAGCATGTTATTAGCGAAGATGAATAAGCAGCTTTCTTATGAAGGAACGTGCGCATGTGTGTGTACACACACACTCCCGCCCACCCACCTGCATGCACACCCACCCCTACCTCCGGACGGGCCGGATAAAAAGACCAGGCAGGCCATACTCTGGAGACACCTGCTCTAGACTAAAGAGCTCCAAACGCTGTAGCCTTTCCTCATAACGGAGGTGCCCCAGCCCAGTCATCATTTTAGTCATTCTCTTCTGCACCTTTTCCAATTCCACTATGTCTTTTTTGAGGTGCGGCAGCCAAAACTGTATTCAATACTCCAGGTGTGGCCTTACCATTGTTTTGTACAATGTCTTCTCTTTTCAACCCCCTTTTTACTGATACCTAGCATGTAATTGGCCTTCTTCACCCCTGCTGCACACTGGTTTGACACTTTCATCAACCTGTCCACCAACACACCAAGAACTCTTTCCTGATCTGTCACGGACAGCTCAGAACCCATTAGCTGATAACTAAAGTTTTTTTATTTCTTTTGCCCCAATTTGCAATCTGCAACTTATTCCAGATTGTCAGCATCCTTCTTAAAGTGTTGTGTCCAGTGTTAGACACAGTACCCAAGATGAGGCCTATCCAGTGCCAAATAGAAGAGAACTAGGACTTCATAGGATTTAGAGACTATATTTCTGTTAATGCAGCAAAACAAAACAAAACAAAAAAGCACCATTTGCCTTTCAGATTTCAACTTTTTGTTTCTACCTTCCAGAGTATTATTTGTTCTACTCAATTTGTGGTGTCTACAAATTTGATAAGCATCCCCTGCACCTTTTCACCCAAGTCATAAATAAAAAATGTTGAAGGGCCAGGATTGACCCTTGTGTTCTATGCTTGTTGCCTCTTCCCAGTCTGAGAAGAAGCCATTGATAAGCACTCTCAAGTACAATTCTATAACCGGCCGTAAATCCAGAAATTTTGTTTCTACCTTCCAGAGCATTATTTGTTCTACTCAATTTGTGGTGTTTACAAATTTGATAAGCATTCCCTGCACCTTTTCACCTAAGTCATAAATAAAAAATGTTGAAGGGCCAGGATTGACCCTTGTGTTCTATGCTTGTTGCCTCTTCCCAGTCTGAGAAGAAGCCATTGATAAGCACTCTCAAGTACAATTCTATAACCGGCCGTAAATCCAGAAGAGAGTCTAAAGGAGTCAATCTAAAGACCACTTCAGGAATACTATGACAGCATCCTTCAATAGCAACAGCGGACTGCTTTTAACTAAAAGAGCCCTTGCTTCAATTTCAGGTAGTGGCAACATGTGCACAATGACACAAAGTCTCACACAACCTGAAATCGAAGCAGGAACTCTTTAATTAGCAACAATCTGCCAGTGATATCATTCCTGCTGTGCTGTCAAAACTATGCAACACGATTTGGGCCAATAAATCAGAAAGTAAAGGGTGCAAACATAATCTTAGAACATGCTCTGTTTAAAAACACTTTAAAAGGTACATGATTTCTGCACAGTCATGAGATATACTAGAATAAATGTTAGACAGTGCACTTACTGTCTAACATTTATTGAGGGACGTGGTGGCGCTGCTGGCTAAACCGCAGAAGCCTGTGCTGCAGGGTCAGAAGACCAAGCAGTCGTAAGATCGAATCCACACGATGGAGTGAGCTCCCACCGCTTGTCCCAGCTCCCACCAACCTAGCAGTTCGAAAGCATGCAAATGCAAGTAGATTAATAGGGACCACCTCAGTGGAGGGTAACAGCATTCCGTGTCTAAGTCGCACTGGCCATGTGACCACGGAAGATTGTCTTCAGACAAAATGCTGGCTCTATGGCTTGGAAACGGGGATGAGCACCGCCCCCTAGAGTCAAACACGACTGGACAAAAATTGTCAAGGGGAACCTTTACCTTAGTGCACTTACTGAAAGCACACTGCTCTTTCAACAAGCATTTCACTTAACTTACTGAAAGCAGACTGCTCTTTCAACAAGCATTTCACTTAATTCTTCTGTGGGACAGTTTCTACCAATGTAAGATACTGAAGACATGATAAACTCTTAAAAGCTGTTTTTAAATACTTCAGAACTCTTTAAATAATTCAGTGCTGCTACTATCATTCTTCAATTGTTTCTCATTTGCTAAGTTATGATTTTATGATTTATAATAATTCTGCATGAATTTATTAAAGTGAAGTAGGTTTCTGGTATACACTACTGCCCAAAATTTTGTTGCATACTTCTGCCAGTGGAAGGGAAATGAGCCAACTTGCAGAAACAAATTCCTGCTAATTAGCAAGTCTTCTCTTTTATTCCTCATTGCATGCCAAGTGGATGGCATGAAACACAACCAGGAATTCAAGCAGGTATTTGTTAATAAGCAGAAATCTGCCACTGTGAGTTACGCCACTTCACTTCTACTGACGAAACAATGCAACAGGATCTTGGTCATTGTCATATGCTGTCACACTATGTTTTTACGGTAATGAAGAGTCTCCTGCATTGCACAGTCCAACACCTTAGTTTCCAGTGAGAGTAAGTTGTAGGATAAACTTTGTGCCCTTGTCAGGAGTGCTGATCATTGTCAGACTCCTTCCTTCTCCTGCTGAACACAATTAGACATTCTTATAGAGGAAGGAAAATGAACTTCTTTATTATCTGAAAATTTCTCACTGACTTGTAACTACTGCCTTTTACCTTTCTTGATGACTTGCATTTGGAAAGATGTTTAAGATCTCCCTTTGAAGATGCTCCTTCTTCTGTAAATCAGGCACATGTTTTAGTTTCATTTCTAAGAAATATCCTTTGCCAAATTTACTCTTGAGGTGTTGAACTGTCCCAATACACCTATGCATTGTTTGGGGAAATGGAATAAAAGAGAGACAGCAGACAGTCAAATGTTAAATTAATGTCAAAATTTTCACAGTATATTGTAACATTAATATGAATTTATCACAAACTCCCAACTTTTGTAGTAATTACCTTAATTTTCCAGACACCAATATCGCTACCCGATCACACACAGCCTCTGCTTCTTCCATATAATGAGTTGTTAGAATAGCTGCTCGCTGTTTACTTTTAAAGGCTGCTCGAATTGCTTTCCTATGAAATATAATAAACACTTCATGAAAAAGTGGGATGAATATAAACTGTTACTCTTTGAGTATCCCCATCAGGGAGATAAGAATGCTTGATGGACCTCCACAAAAGTGGAAAATTTAAAAAGCACAAATCTATTACCACCTACATTCTTATTCATTTCGTAAATATTTTTGTCCCTTCCCACCTAAAAAGTTCAGCACTTAGGCCATCATTTACAAGTTAGGAGTCATCTAAGAAAGAACACTTGTCTTTGTAACCAGAGGAGTAGGGGCTGCATTGCTGCTACTTAAATAAAGAAGCTTGTTTGAAGGGGATCACTATCGGTGGCAGCAGCAGATTGTTTTATTTGCAAAACTTTTTAAAACGTTTTCCCCCCTTAGCAGGTGAGGTTCCAGAAGGCAGATACTGGCTGTAAACCATTCCCCTATCCATCATTTGCCAGGAAATTCTGAAGGAGAGAAATTACTTTTAAAAAGTAATGATCTTATGGCAGCTTAAAGACTAACACAGTTAGTATAGCATATTATAATTTTTTCAAACTTTCTTACCTAGTCTTTTGTGGTATTTTATGCCAAAATGCTGTCTATCTGATAGTACTTACCACATATGCTGTTTTCCTTTAGGGTCCATACCAGTAGATGGTTCATCCAGTAGAGTTATATGAGGGTTACCAAGCATACATAAGGCAAAACATAACTAGAGAAGAGGAGAAAAAGTCAAATTGATAGCTGATTATTCTAGAGAAGGGTAAACAGCCTCGTGGCGCAGTGGTTAAAACGCTGAACTGCAGCTAAAACTGTGCTGACGACCTGGGGTTCAAATCCCAGGTATCCGGCTCAAGGTTGACTCAGCCTTCCATCCTTCCGAGGTCGGTAAAATGAGTACCCAGCTTGCTGGGGGGGCAATGTGTAGCCTGGTATAATTAAATTGTAAACCACCCGGAGAGTACTTGTAGCGCTATGGGGCGGTATATAAGTCCAATAAATAAATAAATAAATAAATAAACAGATAGGAGATTGTCTCCCAAAATGCATCGCAGTATTAAAACTGAACACTCAGAAAGCCTCAGGACATTTTTTCTAATATAAAAAGTGCAACACCAGCCTTCCTCCACTGTGACTACCTGCCACTGAAAAGAATAAAACTTCATCCTGAGAAAATGGAAATGGGTGGCAGGCAGGGGAGCACCTATTGGTCCACTCTTTCAGCTGGAAAGGACTTTCTGAGAGTCACTCTGTACAGTGAGTGATGAGGTTTTTAGTCCATCTCCCTACAGAGGAGAAAACACTTAGTACAACTTTCAGTACTCTCACCCACTGCACTTTTCAAGTGTACACCATTCCATTTGTCTTCTTCATGGTGAGTTTTGTTGGTGCTGCTGCTACTGTATTCTTAGCTATTAGAGAAAAATGTGGACTTGGTTTTAATTTTTAAATCTTAATTTACTCATTTTTATTCCAAAAGCCTCTGCACTTTCACTGAGCTTAAAACGTGAATTTACATCCTTGCCTACGTGAGTTTTAGGCAATCTGTTTTGCTGTCTTGAACTGCATAATATTCCTCCCATCTGAGTGATATGAATCTTTTTATCATAGAATGGTTTGTCCTCCTCTCTCTTTCTCAGTCTCTAGTCACATTTAAAAAGCTTCAGTAAGGATCAGGATAGTGGAAGAGGTCTGCCAGGATGGTGCAATAAAATAGATAAAATATTTTTTAAAGTCCAATTGAAAACAATTTTAAATGCAAGTTTTAAGACCAATTTCAAAAAATTGTTTTGGCCACCCTGAACATTTGTCCTGAAGAAGAAAGCAATCCCTCTCCCAGGAGGGAGGGGAGAAGCAGTTTGAGTAGGGGTGCTCTTATAGTTAAATGTTCACCCACCATTCATTGATAAAGTATATCAATTAATTATAAATACAACTTATTTTGACAGTAAAAATACCTTTCGCTTGATGCCTGACCCAAGTTTCTTTGTTCTTTTCTGTAAATGTTCCTTAAAATCAAGTGCACTGGAAATGCTGCAGAAAACAGAATTAGCATTTTTATAGTCTTGAAAAAGATGGTTTACATTTGTAAGAATTTATTAAGTCAGTATGCAAAAATTTAGCTTGTGCTCAATATATGTTTTTCAGTATGATAATTAAGATTCTTAGGATTAATCTATGTAGCAATCATAGCATAGTACACGGTAAACACTGTCCAATAAAGGGGAAGGGAAATGTGATATGTTTAACACTTAGTATTATCTAAAGTAGCAGTTACTACTGCTAATACGCTTCTTGGCTATTAAAGCACTCATCTTGAATACCTACATGAAGAATTTTCTAGAGTCATTCTCTTTTCCAATGTGTTACAAATCAAGATAAATGAATGGGAAGCCCTTTTGGTAGCTGATTCCTTCAAATCGACTTTTTCTATGTAGTTTTTTTTAGTGTGAAAGCACCATCTAGCTGTCTACCCCACTTTGTCGTTGCTGTTGTTTAGTCGTTTAGTCATGTCCGACTCTTAGTGGAGAGTTCCGACTAAACGCAATCCACCTGGAGCAGGCAGTGGCAAGCCACTCCAGTATCTTTGCCAAGAAAGCTCCATGATCAGAAACAAAAGGCTACCCCACTTTAGAGGAGGAAAAAGAATGATGAAGCAAAAACAGGAGATAGAGCCTCAAAATCATGTTGAGAAGTAGGAAAAAATGCAATACACCCTGCTCTCAGGAAAACTTTTTTTCCATTTTAAAGAATATTCAAAGTACTGACTTTCCCTTTTTTTGTCCATTCCCTTCTAAGCCTCTGATCAAATGTGAACATGCTGCTTATGCCTCCTTTAAGTACTTGAAGTAGTGGGTACCTGTTTTCAAGTATTTCAAGGAGACACAGACACAGCTTTATTCAAGGAACTCCAGCACATTTAGTGAAACTGCTTGTATCTGTTAAGGTATTTATAATAAAGAACCATTAGTGTAAGTTCTCTGCACGCATGCACACACGCACGCACATACACACGGGTAATTGCTCTCAACATACAGTAAATCTTCTGTAACTATACTGTGCAAAGTGGAACACACAGAATATAGAAATATGACCCATTGAACGGAGGACACTTTTGAAAAAACAGTATGCATTTGTCAAAAAGGAAAATGTTGTGCCTTTTCAGAGTATGTATCACAAATACCCCTTTCTTGAGCCAAGAACGTCATTTCTACAGCATGTTAAAAGCTTAGGCTACTTACACTCTCCAAGGAGGCCCTATGTAAAGTAAGAGAAAGTACAACAGACTAATGAAAAAGAAAATAAAGGGCTTTAAACAAACTTTACCATTTTACGACTTCTTTCATGTCATTTTCACTCATTCCTTTGATAGCACCATAAATTTCAAAATGTTCCTGCAATGTGACATCAGGCCAAAGTGGATTTATCTGTGGACAATATCCCACAAATCTCATGGAATCATCCTCGTTATTCTCACCTAAGGAATAATCTCCCAACAGCACCTGTGGATATACCAGTCCTTAATTCAATATTTTATGTAATGTTTGTAGTTATCAAGAGGAAAATACTTAGAGATGAATGTATACCAACCTGAATTTTATAAAAACCTAAAAGACTTTCAGATTGTTTAACAGGATATCCCTTCTGTTTATCATGAATACTTGCAGCATCCCAGTTTTCATATCTGCTCTTCCTGCTGAAGCCCTATACTCCCCTGCACTCCATAGGACTGATTGATTGTTTAGTTGACTGATTGACTGATATACTACTTTTCTCCTAGGGCTAGGTTATAATAAAGTTAAATATAATAAAGCTTACAATAAAGTTAAAAAAATCAATTACCACTAAAACACAGTGAGTTACAAATGTTAAAATGTAATTATAGTGGTTATACTATTACAAAATGATTAAGTTAAAACACCGTACACATTGCAAATAAAATAATAATGATTTACATTAAATTTAAAGGAAAATAGTGCATATGTTAAAAAACTTGTTGGTTGCCAAAGAGCCAATTGTACAGAAAACCTTTGCCTTCCAGCAAGATAGGAGGGAAGGGATTAGCCCTGCCTTCCTCGGCAGGGAGTTTAAAGTCTGGGACAAGCCACTAAGAAAGCCCTCTTTCATGTCCTCACATATGCCTGTGAAGGTGACGGGACTAAGAGAAAAGCCTCTCCGGCAGATCTGAAAGCCAGGGTAGTTTTTTATGAAAGAATACAGTCTTTCAGATAGCCCGGACGAATCATGTACGTAGAGCTTTTTTGGTCATAAGGAATTTCATACTGAATTTTCTGCAGAAATGGATCAGTCACCAATACAGTGGTTGCAGCAGGAAGTTTATCTGTTCCCTGTAACTGGTCAACACTCTGGCCAAAATTTTCTGGACCAGCTGAAGTTTCTGAACACTTTTCCGAGGCAGCCTCATCCACACAGCATTACAGTAATCCAAGTGGGATGCAATGAGTGACCAGATGAGAAATTTCCAAGAACAGCTGCAGCTGGCACACTAGTTTTAATTGTGCAAATGTACACCCAGCCATCAAGGAAACATGGAAATCTAGGTTCTGTACTGAACAGAGGACTACACTGAAACTGTGAACCTGTTCGTTCAGGAGAAGTGTATTTCTGTGTAGATGAGTACAGAATTGTACAGGAAATCATTTATCATCTATGAAAGTAATCAATTTAACACCCATTTTTACTTTCATAGAATCATAGAATAATTAAGTTGGAAGGGGCCTATAAGATTATCAAATCCAACCCCCTGCTTAATTCAGGAATCGAAATCAAAGCAGATCTGACAGATGGTTATTTAATTTTCTCTTAAATGCTTAAATGGAGTGTTCACAACCTCCTGAGGTAACGGTTTCCATTGTTGTACTACTTTAACAGTTAAGAAGCTTTTCCTGATACAGTGGTGCCTCACATTGCGATGTTAATTCGTTCCAGTGAAATCGCTGTAGAACGGAAACATCGTAAAGCGAAATTAAAAAGCCCATAGAAACGCATTAAAACCTGATTAATGCGTTCCTATGGGCTTGAAACTCTCCGTCCAATGACGATCCTTCATAGCGTGGCCATTTTCGCTGCCCGTGCAGCGAGGAATCCGTCCCAGAAAACAGCAGGCAGCCATTTTTTTTACTCGGCAGCCATTTTGAAACCGCCGATCAGTTGTAGGAAAATCATCGTTTTGCGAGAATTGGTTCCCGAAGCACGGAACTGCTCATTGCAAAGCGAAATTTCCCCATAGGAAACATTGTTTTGCGATCGCTTTTGCGATCGCAAAAACTTTGTCGTTATGCGATTTCGTCGTAAAACGGAACGCTCGTCTTGCAAGGCACCACTGTATTCAGCCTAAACCTGGTTTCCTGTAGTTCAAGCCCATTATTATGTATCCTGTATTCTGGAGTGGTCAAGAACAGATCCTGCCCCTCCCCTGTATGACTACCTTTCAAGCATTTGAAAAGTGTTATCATATCTCCCCCTCAGTCTTCTCAAGGCTACACCTGTCCAGTTCTTCCAGTCTTTCCTCAGAGGGCTTAGTTTCCAGTCCCCTGACCATCCTTGTTGCCCTTCTCTGAAATTGCTCCAGTTTGTTGACATCTTTATTAAACTGTTGTGTTCAGAACTGGACACATTACTCAAAATGAGGCCTAACCTCTATCGCATGGGAGACTATAATTCTGTTAAGGCAGCCGAAAATAGCATTGGCTTTTTTGCAGCCACATTGCACTGTTGATTCATATTCAGCTTGTGACCTACAACAATTCCAAGATGTTTCACATTTGTATTATTACTAAGCCAAGTATTCCCCATCTTGTAACTGTGTATTTGGCTCCCCCCCCTCAAGGTGTAGAACTATCCCTGTTAAATTTCATTTTGTTTTTTTCAGCCCAGTGCTCAAGCCTATCAAGATCATTTTGAATTTTGTTCCTGTCTTTTGAGGTATTAACTATTCTACCCAGTTCTGTGGCATCTGCAAATCTGATAGGTATTCCCTGCACTCCTTCATCCAAGTCATTAATAAAAATGTTGAAGAGCACTGGCCCAAGATCTAGCCTTGTGGTACCACTTGTTACCTCCTCCCAGCTTGAGAAGGAGCCTTGATAAGCACTCTCTGAGTACGATTCTGTAACCAATTTCGTATCTACCTGATAGTTACTCTATTCATTGCAGGACTGTCAGATTCAAGATGGAAAAGAATCTTAATATTGAATGCTGTTTTGTTTAATTGAACAATGCACACTGCCTGAGCTGTGAAACCTGTTCTATATGAGAACTTCTGTAATGAGTAACAAAAAACTGTCCTCTGAAGATGCTGGCCACAGAGACTGGCAAAACATTAGGAAGAACAACCTTCAGAACACGGCCAAAGAGCCCAAAAACGCACAACAACCAATAACAAAAAACCTTTGCAGGAAAAGGGGGACATAGATATTTCAAGATGGTATATTGACAGACGGGAGTTGAATACCTGGCCTGAAGTTGGCTCTACTTCTCCTACCAGAATATTAATCAATGTGCTCTTCCCAGCTCCATTGGGACCAAGGACCCCTAATATTTCCCCTAAAAAAGACAAGAAGAAAAGAAAATCTGCTTATTTGCTTAAAAGATTATCCATTGTATTACATACAAACACTGCTATAACACCAACCTTTTTTTACACAAAGGGAGACATGGTTAGTTGCCACTTTCTTAATTTTCCTTCCAAGAAGAAAATCCTTCTTCTCAGCATATTCTTTATGCAAACTGCTAATTAAAATTGCTGGTTTCTAATAAAATAAAAAAAAATATATGAAAAAACACATTAAAGTAAATACTCCCCTGAAGAGCAAAAACTGGTCAGAAATAAATGGACTTGACACTTTTCTTCCATACCCAAACCTTCATGTGTAGACATGATTACAGAGTGGCTATATATACAGCTCACTTCACATGCCATGATACTACGAACTTCTACATGACCTTCATCACAGGACAGACACAATACTGACTTGTTCATGGGTATGAAAAGCTGAGGCATATAACTGTTAGAATGATCACCAGGTCACTAAAGTATAGATTGCTTTCCCGGATCCCCAGAAAAAAGACCATCAACCAGCTGCTTTCAGATCTCTGTGTAATGACACCAATGTTGATGTATGAGACAAGCTAGACAAATCGTATGTTCCCTTATATCAGGATCTAAATACAGTACATTTTGAGGGCTAAAACAAAAGGGTAAGATTTACCACCTCCTCACAACTCTGGCAGGTTGTCATCTCTTTAACTCTCAACCTCTCAGTCAAAACATCTTCATCTTCATCTTCATCATGTGGCACATCTGGAAATTTCCAGGGCTTGACTTTCAGAGGAGTTCTGAACAGAGGGAAATATATTCAATTTCTGTTCATGGGAATCTTTGACATAACTAACAAAAACAATGCCATCTGTTTGGTAAGTTTGCCACTGAAAATGCTACCCATTAAATGAATTTGAAAGCAAAAAACATCCTTGTTAGAGAACTGCTTAGCCAAGAGGTTCCAGAAGCGCAATCACATGGAAAGCACAATAAATAATGTCTGGAGTTTTCCAGTTTAACTCTGGGAGTTTGGCAGCCAGTGGCCCTGATGGCTGTGGGATTCTGGGAGTTTTAGTCTGAAAACCCTCCCCAAATGTTTTCACCTCTGACCATCAGTAAGCACTTTCATATTTAAATAGAGAGGGTTCCCAAATCCTGGGATTCTGGGAGTTACCCACCACAATTGGAAAAGGAACAACAGACAGAACTCTCTTCTGCCCTCTCCCTCTCTCTGATGGGAGGCCGAGCAGGAGCTCTCCAGGGTCAACTGAAGGAAAGAGCCATAATAGCCCAATGGGAAATTTTGTCAGATGAAAGGGGATAACTGGTTAGGAAAAAGCTGGATAACATTCATGCTATTGTAACTATAATTATCTCTTCATCCTAGTTAAATTCTCGCATGCAGCAGTAAGAAAAATGCTGCTGCATGTAAGATCACTGCATACCTACTAACCAAAGAAGCCACTGACAAAAATTAGGTAGAAGAGGGTTTCCGGAGGAAACAGTAGGTTTGGAAATACAGGGACTGTTTAAGACAACCATCCTAGCACATTCTGGAAACAAGAATTCCTACCCATTAAATGAATTTCAAACAAAAAACATCCTTGTGAGAGAACTGCTTGGCCAAGAGGTTCCTGAAGCGCAATCACATGGAAAGCACAATCAAAATCTGTCAAAAATGTATACATAACATTGAGAGGTGGGGCTTCGTTGCAGCAAGATCGGTCGAATTTCAGAAGGGCTCCTGAAACTGATTGAGATGACTTGGTTTTGACTCCCCACAAACTTGGGGGGGGGAAAGGACTTTTACTAGGAGAAGTGAAAGTCTGAAGTAACAGAATCTGACTGAGAAGGGAGGAGGGATGTCTGGATTTGAAGTCGCATCTGGAAGCAGAAATTGATTTGGAGCCTATGGCATCTGCCCAGGTCATGAATATTCATAGGATATCTGCATAGACCAATAGCAGTACTGGATGGGCGGAGTCAAGAGATAGAACAGACTCAGCAGGAGGAGGGGGAGTTAAGAGTGTTAGAGAGTTGGGGAGACTGAGAGAGTTTTGGGAATTTGGGCGGGAGAGTGGTGGTTGAGAGGAATAAAGGAGAATGTTTGTTTAAGACTTAACAGCATTGCCTATTCTATCAACAATAAACCATTTCTGTTTGGTTCTTTTAAAATGACATCTGGCCTGGACATGTATCATTAATAATAGGTAATGTTGATGTAATCAACTGGTGGCAGCTGAGGGGCACATAGCGTGAGCTCTTTGGTGAAACAAGCAGGGGCCAGGTGGAAATTGTGACAGAGCCATCTTGACACAAAGCTGTGAATGCCCCATGACAGGGAGCAGAAAAGTACAGAAGGATTTTGGAAATAAGCTTGACCAGAATTTGAAGTAAGTGACTTGTTTTACATACTTAAGGACCTAAACAATGAAGAGAGTGGGTGCAATCTCTCAGAGAAAGTGACTAGATCTATATCTGGCCAGACCAGCAAGTATCCCCCCCCCCATCTGAGACTTGACTGGGAGAAAGAGAATGAAAGAAGGAAAGGGGGGGTGAGAAAACGACTTTGCTTGTATTGCGGCAATAAAACTTGCTTCTGCAGGACGATATAGTATAACTATAAACTACTGATGGATTTAAATCTGTGAAACAGCCAGGGACAGTCTTGGGAAAAGATTTGAAAGTCCTTTCCCCTGTCAGCCATTGCTGCCTACAATCCTGGAGGGAGAGATTAAATTGTAAATGTTTTCTGCCCCAAGACATAAGCTACCATTGTGAACAACTACTGTGCTTACTATCTGCTGGAAAGAAATCCAGATAATACCTCCAATCATGGAACAAGATGTTCTCAAGAATATTCAAAACATACAGTGGTGCCTCGATTTCCAGACACCCCTACCTACGAACATTTTGACTTATGAGCAGCTCCACTTGCAAAATTTTGCATCAGCTTGCAAGTGGAGCTTCTACTTACAAACCCAAAAAGGCAGGGGAAAAGGGCAGGAAATTTAAATTGACTAACCATTGGCGGCGAAGAGGCTGGCAGCGGCGGTAGCCCAGAGCCTGGAGGCTTGAGCCTGGCTGGGATACTCCCTCTGGCTGCTTGCCTCCTGACGGGCTCCAACAAGGCCGGGGGCAGCATCAGCCCCCTCTGCGGGCCGCTGCCGCCGCTGCTCGGCAGGGTGGCCGTGTCAGTCCTCGGCGCTCCTCGCTGCCCTCCACCATTTAAATTTCCCGCCATCGGCTCCTGGAAGGCAGCGAGGAGCACCGACCCTGGCCTCATTGGAGCCCGCTGGGAGGCGAGCAGCCGGAGGGAGCACCTCGGCCAGGCTCAAGCCTCTTGGCGGCGGCAGTCACAGCAGTGGTGGAAGCCCAGGAAGCTGAGCTTGGCTGGGTTGGTCCAGCTGCTCACCTCCCGGCCATGGCGGTCTCAGTGGCAGTGGAAGCCTGGGAGGTTTCGGAGGATTCGGACTGGTAAGGTGCTGCTTTTTAAAGTTTTGGGTGGGTGGCTTTTGTTTTGTTGGGGGGGGGATTGAGGGTCAATTTTGTTTTTTGGTGATTTTTTTTTTTTGCCATCCCAGCGTGGGACTTGCTCCAATGTTTATTTTTGGATATATTTATTTTTTGCAGTCCCAGCATGGGACTTGTTCTGTTTATTTTTATTTTGGTATTTTTTAAAATGCTGGAACAGATTAATCCCATTCCCATGCATTTCAATGGGAAATGGTGCTTTGACTTACAAGCATTTCCACTTACGAACATCTTTTGGGACAGATTAAGTTTGTAAGTCGAGGCACCATTGTATTTAATGGACTACACCAGATAAAAGCAGAGATGGATCAGCTATTTGAACAAATTAAAGATGTGGGGACACAAATGGAATTTACAGTAAAGATGGAGAAAAATCTAGAACTGCGATAGGAAATTAGTTTTTTTAAAGACACAGAGGAAGATAATTTTATTTTTAAATCCCAGAAGTCTTTAAGAAGAAAAAAGTGAAGATACAGTGCAGTGGAGAGCTAATTTGTTAACCCGTCTTATGGAGATGTCAGCAGTAGAAGTGCAGCAAATGATGAACTTTATGCACTTTATTATGGAAGGGAGAGGAATGGAGATGATGGGACATATGTTATGGCTGATGGGACAAAAACAGCAGATTAAGTGAATTAAGCTCTTGGGAATGGATCTAAATAAATGGTCAGTAAGATGGAAGATGAAGAATATTGATGTAGAACAGCAGATATAAATTTGGCAGGATAAGATAGATAAGATGTTCTATAGACGATCAAAAGAAGGAAATGTTAAATTTAAGAGGGTATTTTGTGGTAAAAGAATATATGATAAAATAGACACAAACTAACAGTTATAATATTGATTTAGAGCAATAGATATAAACTTGACAGACTAATACCAAACCTATAAAATTAGTAAATCTAAAGATAAAATGAAAGAGAAGGTCCAAGAACATGGAAATTATTAATTATAGATATCTTGGAAAATTGCTATGTTTTTTTTCTTTGTATAATTTCCCTTTTTAATATAATTGTATAAGCAGATGTAAGAATACTTTTCGCTCTCTAGAATTTTACCCTTTCCTGTCAGGGTTCAGTAGAACAGGTACCACAACCCAGTCCTGAGCAAGACCACAGGAACAAGTTAGAAACAACCCCACATCCCAAGCAGAGATGAGCCAACTAAGGTTTTGAGTCCAAACAGCAGCCAAGTAGAAGGATGACACAAATTGTGGTCAGACAGTCCAGTAGTCAGAGTCAGGAGAAACAGTATCAAGGCAGCAGGGTCCAGGGGCGCAAGACAGGAACAACAAGGCAGGCAGTTAGGCCAGGATCCACCAGGCAAAGCAGGAATAAGGAAGTTTGGCAGGTGAGGCACAAATAACACCACAGCATGGCCAGGCACCTTTGTTGCTAAGGCAAAGGTCTGTAGTGAAAGCCTGTTCTCTTATAGCCCAGTCCTAAGATTCCACAGGGTGGCGCTCTTGAGGAGTTGGGCAGGTGCAGGGAAAGGGCCCAGTCCTGCAATCTGTAGAGCAGTTCTCCTCAGAGGGATGGGGCTGATCCTGCATACACAAAGGTTGCATGGTTCCAGCATGGCCCCAGTCCTCGCACTTTCCTACCCTCCACTTCCCTCTTTTACCTGGTCCCCCTATTTGTACCATAACCCCTATACCTATGAAAATTAATAAAAACAATTTTAAAAAATGCATACATTACCCCAGAAATTATACTTTGGATTTCATAAGAAAATCTAGCCGGCTGCCAGAGGAAGAGGGTAGGACGAAAAACTTTCTGACTATTTCATAATTTGAAGGCACCCCTACAAAAGTACAAAACTATGCTTTTGCTGATCTCCTTTGATATATCAAAAACATCCTTTGAACATGTGTACTGTATTTTTCTGTGTTTAAGACAATATGTTTTCCTAAATTAGAGCAAAAATTGAGAGTTGTCTTATACACGGATGCTGAACCGCTGGGCATGCAAGCCATGCCAATGCTGCTGCCCATGCCAGCCCAATGCAGGGTGGCGCCACTTGCTGCCGGGCCTCAGCTCAAGCTCACGCTGCCGCCTTGTCCCCTGCCCAAAGGGAGACCGCAAGTGGTGCTGGAGGAGGTGATTGGGCATCAGCGGAAGTAGGAGGCGGAGGCGCACTCGGCCACCCCCAGCACACATCGCAGCTGCTCACTGACTGCGACTCCAGCGCCGCAGGAGAGCGAGCGAGTGAGGCGGAGCGCAGGTAGCCTGGGCGAAGGCCCTGCCCAGATCTGGGGAGGGGGAAAAGGCGTCCCCTGGGTGGTCCTCTGGAGGATGCACCAGCATGGAGGGGGCCTGCTGATTTGGGCACTCAGGCTCAAAAGGGTCAAAATTGGGGGATTTATACATGGAAAAATATGGTAAGTTGTAGAGTTATAAAGATAGGACAACAGGAATTCAGCACATTTCTGACCACAAATGCCAATTAAAATCAAAACATTCTTCATGGCTAGTATCAGTAGAGTTGATTGAATGTTAAAACTGCTTCCAGCAGCAGGCCAGGGAGGGGCCAGTACTGCTCACTCTCAAAATCTGCTCCAAGGGGTTGGGAAATGGAGCGGTGCTAAGTCAAAGGGGATGAAAAGGTGCTAGTGTAATGTTGGGTTTATGTCCATGTGACTTTCCTGTTGGAAGCACTATTATAATTTCTTAATATTGTGAAATACATATTCACTGTACACGTGAGCTACACTGGAAACTATTCTAAGTGAGACAAATATTTACAAGAGGATTTTGACCACTGACCGTGAGGAAAGCTTACCCAATAATATATAAAAAAACCAAGCCCAGACAGAGGTATGTCTCAGGATGTCACTTCATATCAGGAAGCAAAGGACACAACTCTTGGCTTAAGGACTCTAGAGAACAACTCTTGGACTGCATACTGATTTTCTAGTTTCCCCCAAATATTACCACCCAAAATTACCACTTCAGATTTCCCAGGAAAGCCCTGAAGATCAGCATGGGGTAAAGGGGCATCATTTCTTCACAGGTGAAGAGCATTTTGCTCCAAATACTCTTCAAAAGCTACCTGCACTTACAGTGCATGTCTTCCTGCAGGCTCCTGCTGGCCAGTTCTACCAATGTAGTCTTCCTTAATGACAATTTTGAAAAGGCAGATGTTGACACACTGACCTGAAAAATGGGTCCTGTCTCATTGATTTGCCTCCGCACTTCATTTCAAGGTAGCGCAGAAGGAAGAGCCAAATCACACATTGCAAATAAGGCTAAAATGAAGAGCATATTAGACACATTGATTAGAACAGGTTCACTCCTTTGCTAATTACATTTATATGTAAGAATAAACTAACAGGTAATTGAAAAAAAAAGAGGCTTAAAATGTACCATGCCAACTGCTGGGCTCATTTTGAACCCACTCCATTGTGCACACTGAGCAGTTATGGTACTATAGCACTGACAAGCAGATCCGTTAATGCATACTTTAATGAAAAAGATACCGCTCTGCTCTGGCTTAAAGCAAAATAAACAAAACCAAAACCTTCAAAAGCAGCCTGGTAGCTGAATGACAAGAAACATTAGTTACTCCCCCCCCCCCAAAAAAAAAGATGGGCAGGACTTTCCTGGCTCTGTAACTGTTGTGACCTGCAAAGTCCAAAATGGATTGAGACTAGTATATCTGAAGGAGCCTATCTCCCACAGAACCCCCTTTCTAATTTTCTGTCATTATTGTAGCCATATCATAATGTCTCACTGGTTTTGTTTGTTTTTTTAAGTTTTTTGTTTGTTTTTGTTTTTTATATGCAGGGCTTGGACATTCTAGTAGTACTACATTTATTCTGGAACTCCTTCCTGAGGGAGGGGAAGATGTCTCCTTCCTTACTATGTTTGAAGCAGGCAGGCAATACTGCTTTGTTCTGTCAGACTTTTAGTGCTGCTTGATCATGCTTTATTATTCAGTTTAATTTTCAGTTATGAATTCTACTTATATCCTTTCTTTCTTCCAGTGAGCAGTCTCAAGGCAGCAGATATGGGTTTCCTCCTGCCCGCTTTGTCTCACCTTATCCTGTGGTAAGGTAGCTCAAAAGGCTCAAGTTTCATGGCTCAGAGGAGATTTAAAACTGAATCTCATAAACCCCAGTCTCTCACCATAATTACTACACCACGCTGGATCTTTTTATAGAAAGGCCATGACAGGCTGTCCAGCTGAAACTATGTTTCTACATTATCTTTTTTTGAGAAGAGCAAAGATGCATATACACAATCTTTTAACATTTTACATAAGAATCTGTTACCATCAACAGCAAGCCATTACAAAAACATCAGTACTTTGTCTTACTTTCAAAAATCCATCCAAGCAGATCATCTCGCAAATCTTAAAGAAAAATACAGTGCATTGCTTACCGCTATTACTGAAACTAGCAATCTTTCTGAATTTCTTTCCATCTTGCGATCCAGTTTTCGGGCTATCTAAAAAGATAAAAAAGATTAATTTCTAAAACTTTTCTCATATTTTCACATGCCTGCAGTCAAAATACATACTAACCTTGAAATACAATCCACAAACAGAGAAAATCTGGAATGCTTAAGTTTCCATCAATCAAGAGCATCTAGAGGAATTTGCAGGAGCAGGTGCAAAGCTGTGCTGAGGCAGATTACCATAATTTGCACACACCATATGTATTAATGTAACATCATACCTGTTTACATTAAAACAATGAATACATTTAGAATTTGAGGGACAAGCACTCCACCTCTGCCTCTCCAAAAACCAATCCAAAAATACCATTGTAACTTACACAACTGGTTTTAATGTGATGCCTCCTTGCTATCATTTTCTGGATAGTATCCACTGTTAATGAACTACACTAGGTTTTATAGACTGGCTTGACTCAACATAAGGCATTGTCCTATGTTCCATGTTGCATTCTGAGAATGGATGTGTTAATGCATGCTTAGTTGTTCACCCAAATTAACTATATGACACAGTATAATTTCCACAAAGTTATACTTATTTAGGAATGGCTTTTCTGTATTTTAAGCTTTATGCTCTATATTGTTGGGAAAAAATTACTGGCTGCACCTACGCAGATCTCTCTTCTTTGTATGGACAGACAATCATAGCCATCAAGTAACAGACATCACAAGGGCAAGTGTATAGTTTTCAACAATGCTCTTACAAACTGGCAAACCCTTTTCAATTGCAAATGCTCGTCTAAAGAGATGAAGGAAAATCCTGAAGATTACTTTCTTTCAAAAAGACATGTAAGTGCACCCATGACGGTGCCTAGAACAATACAAAGCAAGCTGAGGTGTTATTAATGTTTTTTTTAAGTTTTTGGAACATGTGAAAATTAATTTCTCCAGCTTGTATTGCTTGACTGTGTTAAAAAATTAGGTAAAGGAAACTGCTCTCTAGCTTAGAATATAAAATGAAACTTTGTTTTACAAAGCCATGTTATCCAGGCTGCTTTTTTAGTTCTTTCAAATTAGTCCTTTATACTCCATGTAACTCTTGCTGACAGTGAATGCAATTAGGGCACTTAACCAAGGCATGTTTTATTCTATTAACTTTTTAAACAGAGTCAATTTCCCCCCCTGATAATTCTTGGAAATATTTCAATCTGTCATTTCCCCTCAATCAGATCTAGTGTCCTGAATGTCCTTGTTTATGGACAGAAAGAAAAAAGGTTGAATTTCTAAATATTATCTGTCATGGTTAATAAGGAGAAATATAGTTCTCAAGGAACAATGTAATGAGGTGACATTAGCAAAAAAACCCAACAACAACAGAAAAACAAAAACAAACAAACCAACAGCATCGAAAATCGGGAAAGAACCTTCAGAAACAATTAAATTTATTTTCAAAAGAGGCACTGAAAAAGCTTGTAAAACATGCTGGTGCATTGACAAACTGAACGAAAGAGACATTTTCATCACTGTTCACGTTATTAGAGAACCTGACAAAGCTTTCCCCATCTTGCAGTTTTGCATGAAAGCAAGGGGGAAAATTGCTGCAAAAATATTGGTGGGGTGCGCTAGAAAAATACCTGGGAGACTGCACCTAAATCTAATGACTGAACAATATGGGCCATCAGTGAACGAGGATAGTCAAATGGGAGACTCTCTTCTTCCACACTAACTGGAAGGATTAAAAAAAATAGCTTAATGCATATTAACTGAAACAGTGGAAGATTCTAATAGTGTATTTTAGAATATATGTGCACTTGTGTCTGTGTGCAGTGTTTAGTTTTCCTGCTCAACCTTTCAAAATTTATTTACTAATTTTTGATTTGTGGTTTGTAAGATAGGGTACAATTGTTCTATCCTGTCAAGAGCATTTTAAAAATAAATAATGCTATCTACTGTATTTTTCCATGTATAAGACACCCCATGTATAAAACACCCTCCACTTTTCTAAATCAAAATTTGTTTCTTTGCAAAATTTCTTTCTTTGCACATTTACCTTGCAAAAAGCAGCTTCCCCCCTCCAGGTTTTGTAAAGAAAATGCAGGGGGAAAGCAATTTATGCTTTCCCCCTACATTTTTGTTGCAAAAAGCAGCTTCCCCCCCTCCAGGTTTTGCAATGAAAATGGAGGGGGAAAGCAGAAATCACTTTCCCCCTCCATTTTCTTTGCAAAATCTGGAGGGGGAAACAGGGATCACAGCACTTTGATACCTCCCCCCCCTTACTTCTGGGTATAAAAAGACCCTCAATTTTTCCTTTAATTATTTTAGGAAAAAGTGTCATTTTACACATTGGAAAAATATGTTAGTTAATCTATCCTCCTGATGGACCATGTCCCACTGTACTCCCATCTCCAGCACATTTTAATAGGTTCATGAGACAAGAATGAACAGAGCAGATTTTGTAGTAATGTGCAGTCTCAGTTATGCTTGGAGAAATCTGTAAGCCCTATGCAGTCATTAATTATGTGAAGCCCCCTGCCTTGGGGAATATGCTCAGTATGAACACAGGAAGACAATTATCTGAAGAGAGGGAGGTTGCTGTATCTGGATGGCCCCTCCGTGTAAGCCAACAGAACTGGGATTGTGGCTCATGTGGAGAGCCTACCTGGATGGAGCAGGCCTCTCCCTCACACTGTCATTTTTATGTGTTCCGCATGACAATGGATTAGTATACGCCCTTCAACACATGTCATGCAGGATCTTAATGTTGGATTTTGCATAAACAATATAAATATGTATGCCCAAAATACAGGATTACTATATTTATGAAGAAAGTATTTGCCTTTTTATTACTGCAGTGCTTGTTATGTCCTGGCATACCTCCTCATTAGGTTTCCTCTCCCACTTCTGCTGGTGAAAGGTATCAAATCTCATCACCTAAACATTGTTTTTGTCCACGTTTACTGCCATAAGACCTTGTTTCTCATATATGTTGAAAAGGGTCTCAAGATGCTCTGTATTTTTTGACTTATGTAAGGGAGCACGTTAGCATATGTTAATACTGCCACATTTCTCCCCCTCCATACCTCAGAAAATGAAGTGGCAGCTTAATTTTTTTTAACTTTCTCTCTTACACGTTACAAACAAAATCCATCCTTAATGTTTCAGTTCCTGAAAACTTACCTTTATAAAAGAAATTAGACAGCCAATAAGAGGATAGATTGGAACAAAGACAGAGAAACAAGTATGAAGAACGGCAGCTGCTGTATAGTACCACATAAAGAAAGCTATTTCAACGACAATTGAACAGACCAAGGCTGCCTGAAAAAGAAAAATAATTAAGATCAATAACTATAATTTCATTTTCATTCAGTGGGGAAGGAAGTAACTGGACCAGCCCCCCTCCCAGCACATGGAAGCACATGCTAAAAACAAGTGCCCAGAGACAGATTGCAAGAAAAATTCAGGGAAAGTCTCTTTCAGAGTAAAGGATCTTTGGAAATATTGGATCTTCTTAAATATTTTTTTCCTCTTGAGAAGATCAGCTGGCCAAACTCTGCAGCTCTGTTCTCCAGCCAGAAGGCCAAATGTCTGCAGCTGAGAGCAGGGTGAAACACAGGCAACCCAGTCATATAAATCACAGATTGGGACCATGCTTTTATTGGAGACAGCTTCTCTTCTAGTTACTGATCTTGCTTGTCCTACAGCCTGATCTTTGCTGCTAAGTCCTTGCTGTGTGCGACTTCTGGACTGGGCTGCCTGACCAAAGGTTTGAACTCTCCTTGTTTGTTTGTATCATTTCTGGACTATTTTAGGCTCTAGTGCTGGATCTCTGGTGTGTGGTTTACTTTTCACTCTGGTAAGCTTCTCTTTGCTGGCCTGGCACTAACCTCACCCTACAAAGAGCACAGTTAATATTATAAATACAGTATTTAAACTTACCACTGAAAACACAAAGGACCAAAATTCTTTTGTGTTTTGTATAGCGTTAAAGGTGAAAGAGACCACATAACTGAACAGAACCACTGATGGCACATAGCCAATAAGGCAAAAAACCTATAGGGAAAAGATGACATTTCTTATTGTTGTACATAATTCAGTCTTCCAAAAATGTACATACAGTAGTTAATAAAGTAGCAGACATCCCATCCTAACCCTAGTGGGACATGATGTACGCTTGCCTGGTAAGGGAGGAAGAGAGGGAAGAAAACTGTCCCAAGATCTCCTTAGTTTTTCTTAGTTTAAAATGGGATGGGCCATCTCCAGAGATCTGGGTGCCATACATGTCCAATTCTGGAGGATCCCACTTGCTCCTACAACATCTCCCCTCACTTTTTTTAAATTGTTTTTTTTTAACTGAAAAAGCCCATTTGTAGCATATAGTGGTAATTAAAAAAAAAACTCTGAGAGGTGCTAGCGGCTTTCTGAAAACCTGCCAGAATTTCCCCTCATTTCTCTTCTCCCATTTGTTTCATTCTGGGAGGATGTGTGGTAGGGGCACATTTGAATCCTTGGGAAGTGTATTTTGCCCACTTCTGGTCTAAACATGTACTAAGGTTCCCTGCAAATTCTCATAAAGAATGCAGCAGTTGACCCACCTAGTCACAAACATAGCCTTCTGCTTAAACAGCAATTTAGGCTAACGTAACGTATTCTGCTCTTGGGGAGATGTAAAAAAATTCAGATGTACTATTATTAAAGATAATAGTAGTTTGACCAAACTCCGGGAGGCAGGGGAAGACAGGAGGGCCTGGCATGCCCTGGTCCATGGGGTCACGAAGAGTCGGACACGACTTAACTAAACAACAACAATTATCAAAGAGGGAGAAAACAATAAAACAAAACTTACCACAGTGAGAAACTTCTCAGGAAAAAGATAAACACCACGGTGAAATATAAATAAGCTTCCTATCATAATAAGGAGAATAATGTAAAATAGAGGAATGTCAATCAGTGCCTGGCCACACCAGTAAGCAGAAGGATAAAGACCTGAAATTTTTAGTTGAGTGTAGGCTTTGATCTGCAAAATTGCAAAAATAAATAATTCATATTCATGTCAAATATTGAAAAGGATATCACCCCATCAATTATTCTTTATTTTTCTTCCTTCACTTAGTTAAAATACATATACATCTAATATTAAACAAATCTATGCACTATGAGCTGTAATCAACATTGAAAATACAGTACTGGGCAGATCACACATTCACAGTCCAACCTACTAAGCTGAAGAAGGAAGATAACTAAGACAATCTTAAGAGGCATGAATAAACCCAGATCCAAGAAGAATACATCATAATAAGAGACCAAGTGAACTGACAGCACTTCAGAAAAAAATGTGTGGTCAAAATAAAGGAAAGTAAGTACATAAATACCCTCAACAGAAACTAATAATTTCATATGGTTAGGGCCCTCCACTGTGATGAGCCAGTATATAAGACTTGTTAAGATATTGTACTCTAGTGTTACCTTATGATTCTCTGCATTCTCCATGGCAAAATATGGTGGCATCCCCGTTACAATGACTCCTAGTAACAGAGCTTCGAAGTACAACACTAGGGTGAAAACTGTATCTGTAATCTCCTGTAAATTAACAGATTTCAATATTTAAAAAAATCACTCAGAATATATATAAACTCTTGTTTGTACAGAGATCTTTTATGACCTTGATAAATGTCATTTTTTGGCTGTTGCTGCCTGCTTAGAAATACAGAAATGTGTCAATTAAGCATGCCATATGCAACAAATGCAATCTCATTTCATGGGTCTTGCTTTGTGTAATCCCACAAAGCTGGTGAATGCCAGTTTGATCTGAATTTTGCACATGTGTACTAAAAAAGAGATGATCTCAGAATTTTCCTGAACTAAAAAGGTTAAGGATCCTCTTGCCATTTAGTCAGTCATGTTCAACTCAAGGGAGCGGTGCTCATCCCCGTTTCCAAGCCGTAGAGCCAGCATTTGTCCGAAGACAGTTTCCATTGTCACATGGCCAGTGCAACTTAGACCCGGAACACTGTTTACCTTCCCACCGAGATGGTACCTATTTATCTAATCGCATTTACATGCTTTCGAACTGCTAGGTTGGCGAGGAGCTGGGACAAAGCCACGGGAGCTCACTCCATCGTGTGGATTCGATCTTATGACTGCTTCTCTTCTGAGCCTGCAGCATACAAAGGCTTCTGCGGTTTAGCCCGCAGCGCCACCACGTCCCCTGAACTAAATTTATGAGCAAAAGTAATGGCTGGAATTTCCCTGCTGATGTTCTGAATTAAAGTAAAGACATCCACAATTACTCTAAGCTAGGTTTCCACAATTTGAAAAGACTAAGCATGGGGTAATTTTCCCCCTTGCCATTTTCTGTTCTTTCTGCTTCTTGTTGTCCCACAACTTGTTACTGATGCACCTAATAATTTGTTCATGATTTTAAAACACTGAAAGGTGTGGATTATGTACACTGAAAAGTGATAAACCTGCATTTTATTATAGCCTGGAATGCATTTTGCTATTGGAATTCTTTTATTCTTTCATTCTTTCCATACTGGCTGTCATCCAGTATTAAGCCACAACTAGAGTAGACCCAATGCATCAGTGGGGATTTGGTGAGTCGACTTCTTCATAAGTTTCACTGATTCAATGAGCCTACTCTAGTTGTGCTTTACTACTGAGTTTCAACCACTGGGCTAGTAGGGAATACAAATATGAACATAAGACATATGCAGCTTTTTTAAAAAGCACAAGTATTACTGGCACCATTAGAGCTAGATTTTGGAATACAGATGGACACAAACTGCAATTGGTGGTCTATCCCAGTTCGGTGCTACATGTACACAGGTGTTGTGCGAACACTGCATATTCCCCTCTCCTATGTTCTTCCATTCTGCAGATGATGCATGCTTCCCTCCCTGGCTCCTCAGCATGACTGCTCACTTACCGATTGCATCATGTGCTTCCCTCCTCCACCTCCTCTGGCAGCTGCCCACTCAGATGAGGTGGAGCAGGGATGCCTGCAGCACTTCATTTGAATGGGCAGCTGCTGGAGGAGGTGGAGGAGGGAAGGGCAACCTGCGATGGGTGAGTGGGCAATTGTGCTGAGTACGCAGGGAGGGAAGTATGAATTGCCTGGGGAATGGGCAAATGTGCAGAAGAGGGGAGTGTGCAGTGCCTGTGCAACACGTGTGTGGGCACGGTGCCAAACTGCCCAAACTGTAATCTGTATCTGTCTCTATTTTGTAGTACATCTGTGAACCCACAGCCATATGATGTTTTATAGTACTGCGGCGAGCATGTAGCATTGGCAGCAATTACTGCATCAAATTTTCTTTGTTTTTTTTTAAACTAAATTTCATGTTGGCTGGGAAGCTATATTCTACAGGCAGTAAAACAGTGACTAGCGCTTCATCATCTATCTTTTCTCCAGGGTGTTTCTCCATCTGTAGTGTCAGTTCTTGCTTCCATGGAGGGAGATCTCAACTAGGCTGGGGATCAATTTTCAGTCTCAGGGTAGATCTCCAGGGGATAAAAGGGAAGCATGCTATCAAACAGGCTAATTTGCATATTTTTTAAATTATTCAAAACATGTTCATACAGCAATTATGTACAATGGGTTTTGCTGACTGAATAATGTGCTTAACAAAATCAGAATTTTTTAAACTTAAAAAGCTCCCTTATCATCAACTTTGTTTTAATGTAAGTTTATGAGGGGCTCCAGAGGGGCTGGGGACCTGCAAAAATCAATCTTAGGGGCCAGATGTTGTACATTCCTTGGTTAGAATGTGCACCTCAAATCATATTGGCATAACATTCCACTATGCAACTAGAATGACATCATCAACCCAGGACTATAATGTTGAACTCAACTGAAGGGTTTTATCTTTCCCTCCTTCAGATTCTGAGGCTCCCTGGGGCTCCCTTTTGCTCTGTGGAAGCCTTTGGGAGATTCAGGGTGGAGGGAGGGGAGTCTTTAATATCCAAAAATTTCAACTGGATTGGTAGCCGTCACCCCAATCTTGGCAGCAGGACAAACAATGTTTGGCTCTTAAAGGTCCCTCTCCCCTATTCCAAGGCTCCTGAAGGCTTCCCCAGGGCAAAAGGGAGTCCTAGGGAGCCTCTAAACCTGAAACTAGGATAGGAAGCTTTCAAATAAATTTATTCAAATATTCATCTTCCAGGTTAATGACATCCTCCTAGTTGTGTGGCATAAAGTTACACCAATATGAGTTCAACTTATCTGTATTGAAATGCTCACACATTTATGCAGAGAGCAAAAATATTTTAAATATTCAAAGGAATGTAAATGATAAAAGTTAGGTAAGCAAAAAATAAAAGTGTAAGTGCAATTTTCAGAATTAACATTGGAAAGATTACCTCCCTTTTTACACTGGAGAAATGTCATTTTCTTGGTATAAATAACTTGGAGTAAAACAAAAATATAGTGGGGTAGAATAGAGTGAATCTATGTATCCTGAAGAAAAATCATCTATATATTTGTCCTTTCGTATTATTTCTATTTACAAGGCCAACATGCTTTACATTTACTTACTTGAAAGAAAGGATTACTCCAGATATGGATCCTTTCAGTTGAATTTAAACTGTGCAGATACAAGTTACTAATAATATTCATCATAACAGGCAAAGAATGCACCATGGTACGGTTAAAAGCAGCTGTAAAGACATAGCTCTGCAAAAAGAGAAGACATTTTACAAATCAGTTCTCGGAATCAAAACCCCACCTTAATAACTAGGTCTTGCCCTGATGCTAGAAAGACAGCGGGTGGCCAGGGGGGTGGAGGGGGGAGATGTAGCCTTTCTTGGCAAGAAATTCCAGCAACCGGGCACAGACACTGAAATGGCTCCCTTGCAAGTCACCACCCAATGGACTTCTGAGATAAGAGCCTCTCCAGCAACAGGGCCTTTCAAATGTACAGTACATGGCTTTACAGGCCCCAGCCAGTACTTTCAGTTAGACTAGTTGTCAATAAAAAAAGGTATATGTAAGGATGTACCATTGGAAACCAAGATATCTTGGTCTCTATCACCATGTATGGGTGTGAAATTTGGACAATTAAAAAAACTGATGGGGGGGGAAATGAATTGTCTGAAATGCGGTGCTGGAGGAGAGCTTTGCGGATACCCTGGACTGCTAGAAAGACTCAAAAGTGGGTCCTAGATCAAATCAAGTCTGAACTATCTTAAGAAAAAGAAATGATGAAACTGAAGCTGTTCTCATTTGGGCACGTCAGGAGAAGACAGGATTCTCTGGAAAAGCCAATAATGCTGGGAAAGGTTGAAGACAACAGGAAAAGAGAAAGGCGAAATACGAGATGGATTTATTTCCTGAAGGAAGCCTTAGGCTTGAGTTTGAAACTGCTGAGCAGGGCTGTTGAGGACAGGGCACTGGAGATTGCTCATTCATAGGGTTGTCATAAGTCAGGGGCAACTTAAGGCACATAAAAACAACAACAAAGTTGCCAGTGAAGTTGTTGTAGGAAGGGAGTTATAGCCAGTCTATAGCCAGTCCTGGTTGGCAATCTGGCTTCATTTTTTCAGATCAGCTGAAGTTTCTAAACACATCAACAGGAGCACCACACAGAGCATGTTGCCGTAATCCATATTTAACTAAGGTATGTATCAGACATCTCCAGGAACAAACAGGCACAAGGGGTGCACCAGGTTTAAATGTGCAAATGCACTCCAAGATCTAGGCATACAGGCTCAGGAATAAATCCAAAAACATCTCCAAGCAGCAAACCTGAGTTTTCCAGGGTAGTGTAACACCATCCAGCACAGGTTTCCTGATCTGTCTTTTGACTGACCAGGAGGACCTCTGTCCTATTAAGCTTCATCTTGTTTTTCCTTATGTTTTTTATCTGTTATGGATTCGAGACACTAGTTTAGAACTGAAACAGCTTCTTGAAATTTAGATCAAAAGGAGAGATAGAGTGCATGTCAGAACCATACTGGTGGCACCAAACTTCAAAACTCAAGTCAATCTTTCCTAGCAGTTTTATGTATATGCTAAATACTATGGAGAACACGACTGAGCCCTGAGGAACATCATACACAAACAGCCAAAGTATCAAAGAGGAGTTCCCCAACATGACCTTCTGAAATTGATCCTCCAGGAAAGACTAGAACTACTAGAAGACAGCACCATCAAATCCTATCCCAGAAGGGTGACCTAAATAGATACCATGGCTGATAGTACTGAAAGCCACTGGCAGGTCCAGCAGAACTAACAGGCACACACTCCCCCTGTATGGTTCCCAGCAGTCATTCTGTAACATGACCAAAGCTATTTCTGTCTTATAGCAAGCAGCATAACTCTTTAAGGAAGCTGAATTCAAGATCATCTTTATTATCTCTTAAGCCATGAAGTAAGTGATGCAGTGGTGATTCCCGGTTACCATGAAACGAAACAGTATTAATACACAAATATTATTAAATATTTGTTATGCTAATTTATGGCATTAAGGGGTATTTCCAATATATATTTCCAGATCCCATTTTGTTACAAAATTCCACCTGGAAGTGAATTTTATTTGCTCTAGATCTGCAAACCTTCCTTACAATCACACGTTTAAATATACACAAAACACTTTCTTACAGCCTTTTAGATTTTCAGAGGACTAGCAGCTCTTCTTACCTTATCAACATAAAACACATTTAATGCTGCACTATGGGGGGCAAATGACATATAACCACTGCCATTAAGTGCTGAATTGTGGAAGTTGGTTGATCCATAATCACTGCCATTGACTGTTTCTGTCAGTATATTCTGGTTCCTCAGAGAGCTGATTACATCATCAATGCTTGAGTCTAGATATATAATAAAAGCAACAACATATAAATATCAGAAATACAAAGACCCTTACATCCTAATGATTTACAGATCAACACATACAAAGCTTTACAAATATAACAGTGTTCCTATTCTCTACATACTTAACTTGCCCCCCTATATGAGCTTAAAGTGCCATTTAGAGATGGGCACAAACATAAAAATGGACAAAGAAATTTGTCAAAAATGCTGATTTGTTGATCAGAATTGATTCTGGCTCGTCTAAACCTTAAAACTTGAACTTTCTTGAACAAAGTATTTTTCCCTGATTTAATGAACTTCCTGGTTGTCCTCCCAACAGCCTGCCCCTGCTCCCTTGCCCTTGCCCCTGCCCTGTTGCCTCTGTATCTTTAATTAAAATTTTCAAAATGATAATTTGGCAGCTGTAGCAGTAAGGCACAAACGTTGGCACCCAAACAGGATGTGATGCAGCATGTTTCTTTTTCTGTCTTTTTTCTTCTTTGACAGCAGCGCTGGTGACAGCAGCAAGAGAACCTTGCCTTTCAGTGACTCACAAAGCACTTTCTTCTCACAATAGAGAAATATGCTTTTCAGTGCCTCTAATACCACTTTCTCTGTATCCTTCTATTTCTTTTTACTATGTCTGGACACAACATTGTTCTTGTGCACTGTGGAAGAGGTGAGGGAAAATGGTTGCTGCTGAAACCCAGCTCATTTGAACCATCTGTCCTAAGCCTGTTATTCTCTGAAAATGTTAACATTCTTAGTGCACAAATACTGTACTTTATCTCCACTGTACAGGATATGATAAGGGAATGTAGGAAATAATTTTTAAAAACCCAATCCGTTGTCTTTAAGATACAGATTCTTTTTAATTTCTCACCTGTGGTGTTTTGAATGAGAAGACTTGTCTTGTACTTGTGATGAGTTTCATTGGGCTTAAGAAAATATAAATCTGGGGAGAGCTTGATAGGGACCACAGCATTTTTGAAGTAATTATGTATTATAAACATAAAAGTCTGCATAAGGAGAAATACTGTGAATAGCAAAAACCTGAAAGAAAATAGTATAAGTGAATCTGCTACAAATTGTATATAAAACATTTAAGAATGGTTATTCTTTATAGCAAAGCTAAGTCAATTCCCCAAAACATATTCTTTGGGATCCAGAACACAGGGACAATCCTATTATAGAACCAGCCTTCCTTTGCCTTAAATGTTTTGGACTACACTGCACATTGCACACACTGGCTCATTTGAAGAAATCAGCCTTGGAAAGTTGCAACAGCAAAGTGAAATAGTTTCCCCACAAAGCTGATTCTTGGTAACATGGAATAATAGCAAATTTTGAGATAAGAGAGCCTGACATACATTAATCCATGTCTGTGAATGTTTCCTTGTGTGTAAAATCATCAAATTCACAATATTTACAAAAAAAAATCAATTGCTTTTCTAAGATATTGAAAATGTGGAAGGTTGCTATCTGGACATACATTGAAGCATGCACACCAACAGATTTATTTTAAAAAATCAGTTCAGTATATGCCAGACTATATGGAACAAACACAAATTCCTTCACATATTCTACAAAAAAAATCTTAAGATGGATAAGATGATATTTCTATAGATCCATGTACAATAATATCACCATTATATATTTGTTTATTTTTAAAACTGATTTCTGAACATAAATGTACAGCAGTGGTTCTTAACCTTTGTTACTCGGATGTTTTTGAATTGCAGCTCCCAGAAACCCCAGCCAGCACAGTTGGTGGTGAAGGCTTCTGGGAGTTGCAGTCCAAAACTCCTGAGTAACCCAAGGTTAAGAACCAGTGATGTACAACACTGAAACATTAATAATTAAGATATAGGGGCAGGACATCCACATGTAACAAAAAGGAAAAGATTCTTGCTACTTGCGCAGACCAGCTTCTACCATTCCCCTGGTCAGTGCACTTCCCTCAGCACATGTGGGCTCCACATGCTTAGATAACAAGTTGGGTTCTGGGTGCAATGAACCCATGTGGAAAATGCTATGCCTGCAGAAATGTTATCATGACTTTGAAAAGTCAAACAAAGAGGATCTTAACAGTCGTGAGATACTAGCATACAGAACCCATCTACTATGGATATTATGCATGGTCCCTAAACTCTCCTTAATTTTTTTTTTTTTTTTTTTTTTTTTTGGTGCAGCACATCAGCTGCCATTTTAACTTTCCACAATTTCTCTGTTGCAGTGTTTTTCATGCCAGGAGACCTCTCATATTTGGAATTAGTCTTTTCCTTTATTATAAAATATATCACAAGTCTGCTTAGAAGAAAACTAAAAGAACTCAGTTGTAACCTTTAAGGGCATGCACTTGAACAGACATCATTATGAATCTGGAGAATTATAGATTGTCAGTATATAGAAACTACAATTCTATTCTGTCTCTCCTTCTCAGACTAATACATTATTTGCCAATATTATTTTAGATAAATACAAAGTTTGGATACTTACACTACTGTCACTGATTTAATTTCACGTTTTAAGTTAAGGAAATGAACCTTTGCTGTAGTAAAGACCTGCTTTTTCCAAAGAGACTTATTGCTTAGTACAGAAGTTCTTGTCTTAGATAGCATTAATAAACTTTGTTCCAACTCATCAACAGATTTAGTTTCAGTTTCCTCTTCAGTTTCCTCTGGGCTGAATACACTGAAATCTAGGGCAGAAAGAGAATAGGTCAAATAATTTAGAATAGATTTCTTCTGATCCGTAAAGCTTGGTGCTATGTATACTGCAACTGTCAATTATATTCCCATCCTGCTTATAACTTTTTTGAACTGTTGCTGTCTGGCAGAAGATATAGAACAATTAAGACTCGGACCACACATTTTCTGAATAGTTTTTATCCCAGAGCTATAATTGCACTTCATAATGAGCTTAAAGACCACCAGTAGTGAATAGTTAGTTGGACTGTGTTACTTGGCTTGCGGGGTAGATGGTTGTATTTTTAGTGGGGGCTTTTAGTGGGTGGGGAGTGTTTGGGGAATTTTATGTGTGTGCATGTGTCTGGTCTCTGGGTGTCTGTGAATTTCACTGTATGGGTATACTGTGTATATACTTACAATGACAATAAATAAACAAACAAACAAACAAACAAATAAATGTTCACAGTGCAACGTGGCACAGTATTTTAAGAGATTTTGTTGTAGTAGCAGACATAAGTATTATCCAAGAGAAAGCAAAAGGGTGATTGTTAAAGTGGGGAAGAAATGCAATCTCTTGGCAATGTGCAAACAGCAAAGTCAAGGTCCAAAACAAAACATGATAGCAGAGCAGCAAAGGCAACACCTTGTTTCCTTTTAACCTCTTACAGAGGAGGTTAGTATGCTGCAGAGTCAAATGACTCAGAGAAATTTAGGGGAAATGAAGATGGAAAACATGACCACATTTTAACTGTGCAGCTTCCAACCTATTCTGTAAAAATATTTCCTTCCTTCCTTCCTTCCTTCTTTCCTCCCTCCCTCCCTCACTTTAATACATTTAATCGGGAAGGAGAGCAAGCCAGCACATAAAAATCTGGGGCAATGTAAGTCAGCTTTCATTCCCTATTAAAAAAAATACAGAGGTTGTCCAGCTGTCTTAACAGCTTTTGTCGTAAAAGAAAGGGAAATTATTTATTTCTTCCCTTTCCAACATGTCCTAATGGGTGGGTGGGGGGAATTATTAGGTATTGAGAAATTCTTGGGGAGGGGAGCCTGGGTGGGAGAGTGGCCATAACAGTGTCTTTTGAAGCCCTCCAAGGCTTCTGAAGCCAGGTAATGCCAGTGTCTTTCACACTACAACCACCAGGACTTACTGTGCTCTGGACTGCATTGTAAACACATAAAAATTATGTGATAACATACCATATGTTACATTTAAAGCGCAAATACAATGTTAAAAAAGTAATGGTATAAATCATGTTATATTACAGTAAGGAAAATACTTGATTCTTACCTGCTTGGTCAATTTCAGCTTCAGCTTCAAGCTTGAGGAACACATCCTCCAAGGTTGTCATAGAAACGCCATAAGAAATAACACCCAAATGGGAATGGATGTCTAGATCAGCGAACAGTGCTAAAAGGAGAAAATAAATTACTACTTGAAAATACAGTTACATCACAAGACATTAAATTGCTACTCGAAATCTTCGAAGTTCAAAGACAAAAGTTCCCCATTCTTCACTGGTGTTGAGTTATACCTGAAAACTTGTCCATGTCTTTGAATGGCAATGCATACACAAGTTGCTCTTCATTCTGCTTTAATAAACTGGCTTCTGGAATATGCTGTCTGATCAAAGATGCTGTACCTTCTGTGTTACAGTATCTGTCTATGTGCATACTAAAAAAGAAACAGACATACAAATATAAAAGCACTGTTGTTTACAAAGGAGGCTTATGGTAGGAGGCAGCAAAGATTTTGAGCTTGAAAGTGGTATTTACTTGCAGGAAACCTTTTGTGAAAAACATGCAAGAAGGTAGGCAGAGTTAATGCCCCACAAATAAAACAGAAACACACAGCTACTCACTCACATGTAGTTTTCCATATAAAGTACACACTCCATCCTGAAAATGCCCACATCACATATGTTTTTAAATCTTGATAGGGATCAATAAGGCATGTTTAAAGGTGAATTGCAGTGCGCTTGTTTGTGTCTGAATTTTGTGAGGAGAGGCTGCAACCCGTAGAAAGGCACAGATGTGCTCGTTTTTTCCGAATATCAATTTCTCCTCTGAAAATGTGACTCCCTTGCATGAGAATTAAGTTGTGTTTTAAGCATTAATTACCACACCAGCACTGGCATTTAGACAGACTAAATACAGGTGGGAATATGTGTAGAAGAAAGATGAACAATTCATCAGATGCTTTCTGAATCTAGTTCGCAGGAAGAACATAAAGCAAGTGAGTTAAAGAGAAATTGTACTTCTAAATATACATCCATACTGCATTTTAATCTCCCATTGGTACAAAATTAAATACTGGACACAATCTATTTTTGTGAGGTGATGAGCACATGAGATTTTGGCTACAAAATAATATACTGCAGATGATTAAAAGATACCTCAAGCGGTAGCCAATTCCCCATTTTGTCTTAAGGAAGAGAGAAGAGCCAAGACATTTCAGCATTCCCTGGGAAATCACAGCTTTCCGATCTAGAAATAGGAGCAGAAGGAATTGTAAAGTTTGTAAAGCAGCCAACAAGGGAACAACTATTTATTTATTTAAATTTCTACATTCTAAGAACTTAACAGTATGATAAAATCGAACAAACCATGACAAAAAAATAGCAGCAATGGCATTGTAAAACAAAACAAAACAAAACGTGGAGAAGCAATTAAGTTAGCCATCCCACCAAGCTGGCTTACATCCCCACACTCTCTGATTTATTCCCCCTGTGAGTCCGATACACTTAAGGCACAAGCCCCCAACTGAACATGCCTGCAATGATGTCAGCTTCATCCATGAAATGGGTACTGAAAACGGTCACTCGGTTGGCCTTTCTGTTTTTCAGGAGGTTCCAAACTGTATGTCGAGAACATGGATCCATTCCAGCAGTGGGTTCATCTAACAGTAAGACCTAGATTTTTGGCCACAGAAAACAAGAGATACACCTTTGAGTGGATGTTGTAATCATAATCACCCAATCTCTTGAAAAGAACAAAAAGCTGATCCCACAGCTACAAATATTCACCTATCCCTCACACTACACCAGAACACAGAGTTCTAACTCCTGTCCTCTGAAGATGCTGTACACAGAGACTGGCAAAACGTTAGGAAGTAAAAGAACTAGAAAAATGGCAACAAATGTGGACAAAAAATTTAAAGCTGACATTAGCAACTTCTTACAAAGAAAATTTATAAAAAATGTTCTATAGATGGAATCTTCCTCTATCCAGACTTGCAAAAATCTCCGCAAACATATCGAACAAACGATGGAAATGTAAAAAATCAGGAAGGAACCTATTACCATGCATGGTGGACATGTGACATAGCAAGAAAATATTGGATTAAAATCTATACATGGATTAAGCAAACGTCTAAGCAAGAAATAGAATTTAAACCAGATTTTTTTTAATTGGGACTAATACCAAATAACCCCTTCATGGATTGCTGCCTAGTTGTGGCGACGGGGCTTGAGTAACTCAGGGAAGCTATGGGCTATGCCGTGCAGGGACACCCAAGACGGACAGGTCATAGTGGAGAGTTCCAACAAAACGCAATCCACCTGGAGTAGGAATTGGCAAGCCACTCCAGTATCTTTGCCGAGAATGCCCCATGATCAGAAACAAAGGCTAAAAGATATGACGCTAGAAGATACTCCGAAGAGGCAGGCATCTTTGAATTTTGTGGCTGCTGTCACCATCTGCAGTGATCATGGAGCCCAAGAAAGTGAAATCTGTCACTGCCTCCATATCTTCCCCTTCTATTTGCCAGGAGGTGATGGGACCAGTGGCCATGATCTTCCTTT